TTTTTTCGCTTTACCTGAACAAGTTTGTGTAATGCACTCTGCAAACTTCTTTTTCCTTCTAAGAGGACTCTTCACATACTTGATGCATTCTCTTATCTTAGACAATGGTTTATCGATAACCTTTAGCCCATCTTGCACAATAATATTTAGAATATGAGCACAACACCGTACATGCAAAAAATCACCATTACTAACAAAATGATCTTCTAAAACTGAGTGGTCTTTTAAAATTCTCATGAAAACATCATTATATGCTGCATTGTCCAAAGTAACAGTAAAAATTCTTTTTTCAATACCCCAATCCTTCAACAAATGAAATAGCTTCTCTACTAAAATTGCTCCACTATATGGGGGTGGAACATGAGATAGAGCTAATATCTTATTCTGCAACATCCAACAGTCATCAACACAATGTGCAGTGAGAGACATATAGTAGTCGGAGGTGGAAGAGGTCCATAAATCCGTGGTTAGACAAATTCTACTAGGAACTAGCTTTAAAGCCTGTTTAAGATTTTCTTTCTCTTTCTTGTTCAACTTGACCAAATCTGTTTTAGCAGTGTTCCGAGAAATATGCTTGACTTCAGAATTTAAAAAATTATGCAACCCACGGTGTCCTCGATGTTCGACAAAAGTGAATGGATAACCATGCAATGCAATTACTCTAGCAAGCATTTCTCTATATTTTTCTTGATTTAGTGGCATATTTTTTCTTGAAGAATCAGCCTCATCCAAGTTCCTTTTCAAGCAAGAATCCTTATGCCTCAACATTGTCTTAGTGCCGTGACTACAAACATAAATATGATTACACATATTACATTGAACTTTAGTTTTCTCATCATTATCGATAGGTAACTTTGTGAAGTGATCCCAAACTTTTGATGTTTGTCTTCTTTTACGTTTAGAAATACTCTCATCACCACTACCATCATCATGGATGCTAAATTGATCATTTAAAGACATTATAGCTGAAAAAAAAAAATATAATAGCACATCAATTTTTGGTAGCAAACACATAATAAAGTGGCACAAAATAATATAAAAGCAGTAATTGGTTGGTGTAATAATTCATATGTCGCTAATAATATAACAAGAAACATCAAGTTCTTGATCAACTACATACAAATAAAATAAATTCATTCAAGCCTACCCTAACTTTATGCACGAAAGTTGAGGGGAGATATTATTTATGCACGAAACAAATGCACTGCTCTTCTTATATTGTCCAGGTAAGATGTAAAGGAAAAAACCAAAGCACATATGAAATTCCTTTATCTGGATGTATTTCATCTGGATGTATTTCATTTGCTAGTGAAAGCATCTGATAGATGCCCAATTATTGCACAAAACTATTCCCACTGAATACTCTCTATCAAATACATTAGTTGCACAAAACTATTCCCATACAGAGCATTGTAACCGAAAAAACTATGTAAAAAAGCTTTTACAACAGAACCAATCAATCTCTAATCCTTTTCTTGAACATTAAATCTTCTCTTCACGCCAATTTGCAACAGGTCTAGAAGAAATCAAAACTAATCAATATAAGTGTAAAAAGACTTTTCCACAGGTAAAAAGACTGAAATTTACCAAGAGTCTAATTGATCAAAATTACACTTTTCCATGGGTAAAAAGATTGGAATTTACCTCAACCTCAAACCTAAACCTAACGCTTGACAGATTGGATCTGTGCAGATCCATCGAGCATCGTCATACTGTCATCTAAAGTGCTTCTACCGATTAATATCTCCCTTCATAAATTTATGTTTAAAAAAAATTTATGAAAATTGAGATCTTGCATCGAATTAGATGACAGAACGACGAAGGAATAGGAAAAGAAAAAACTTACTTGGCTCTGGGTTCGAGTGTCGGTCGAGCGCGGGCGTCGCGTTTAGGCGCGTTTCGACGCGTTGATGGTGGCGCTCGGAGGCTCTAGCTTCGAGACGAGTAGGCTGGTTCGTCGGCGGTTGATGGCCGGCGGAGGAGACAGCGGAGGAGTAAGGATTGGCCGATTGGGGTTGGGATTGAGGCGTAGGAAGAGCTCAGCTGCCCTAGAGAGAGAAAAGAAGAGTTTCAGCGATTTTAGGGTTTTTGTTTTGGGAATACGGGTGGACGGGAAAACGGATGAATAAACACCGCCCATTTAGTGTTATTTGAAATAAACCCACCCAATTAGACATATTTAATTAAATGGGTGGGTTTTGGGTAGGCCAAGTAATGGGCGGGTCAGGTGGGTAAATGGGTATGGACAAAAATTGACTTCCCTAGACCCAGTCAAGGAGATCAATAAAGTGCCCTTACCATTGTTATAACCAATAATACAACAGTGTTGTTATTACTCCCAGGTAAGTGACATCCAACACTCTTAGCTTCTGTGGCTGTCACAACTCCTAAGGGGATCTCTTGTGTGATAAGAGCTCATACCTACTGATGTAACTTTGTAATAGTGCAACCAATATCCTTTAAACCTTGTATAGGTCATATACAAATATACTCCATGGAAAAATTATCTAGCAATAGTAAGACGTTAGCAATCTCAGATATGCCAATATAGAAAAGAATTAAAATAAATATAATATCTTATAAACATGTCATCTGTAATATACCAAGTGTCTGAGGTGTCAACTAATAAAAGTTTGTCATTAAAGACGTAGAGATACACATAACATGACCTCATTTTCTCTTAGCTCTCAATGAAATGGTGCTTGATCTAAACTTTATTCTATTTTTTAAACTAGATTTGGTCTTTTGAATAACCAACAGTTGACACACTATTAAGAATGACACCATTTTCTGCATGTCAAGCTATAGCAAGGAGCTCCGAGAATTTGCAGAATTAGACTGCCTTTGGTGCTATCATATATATAGTCATATATTATGCTCCAAGTGAAAAAAAGATTATATACTACTCCTTCTTACTAGTCCATGGAATGACCTTACCATTTAGTAATAAAATATAACTAGAAATCAACACTTGCTCATCCAAATCACTACCCTAGTCAACTTTTGATTATATCCATAAGTGAGTGTCAATTCTGTCATAGCACAATACACAAATGCAGTCTCAATCATATATCTGAGGGCCCTGTTGACTCATCCCATTAAGTCATACTAGGATTGGACCGATGTCCACTCATCAATTTTACTGCAAAGGATGTGTGGACTAATGTACACTTACAAGACTATCAACTACACTCCTTAAAGAGATTCTTAGCATTAGCTTTTCACTACTTTCATGTTGGGACATTACTCTATACTTAGAGTCTGACTATTAGCAATTGGAGTCCTAGTGGTCTACATGCTGCACCTAGTCGGTAATATGCCATCGATACAAGATGATAAGATCTCAAATTGTTACTAGCTTTTTAGTAGGTAGACACAATTGTATTCATCCATTATTACGAAACCATAGCCTAGTATTGTCTAATATAACTGAATAAATATTACACACTGGAATAATTTTTCAAATCATAAGCTCTTTAACTTGGTCACCCTATGCTCAAGTCCCTCAGCTTTGAAACACACAAATTGATCCACATAAATATCTTATTCCTCTTCTCCTAGAGAAAACCTGTCTCTAAGTCCGTTAGACTAGTTCAAGTTCAATTTTTGCTACAAGAACTAATTTTCTATGATTAGAATTATTTATCACTACTAGAGAAAATGTCACTTTAAAGTCCACCCAATAACTTTTGGTATACCTTTTTGCTGCCAAGTATGCCATGTACCACTTGATTGTCATATCTTATTGACCTTGAAAACATATTTGTTCTCAATGAGCTTGCACTCAGTTGGAAGATCCGCTAAGTCCCCAACTTGATTCTTCCTCATGAGGTCAAGCCACTCTTCCGTTGCTGCTTTTTACTCTTTTGTTATAGACCCAAAAATAGTGTCCTCACATGACTTGGGCTCCACAACAACATGTGGTGCAATCATGAACATTTCTCCATCGATCTCAAAATATTATCTAGGTACTAGTCCAGGGAACAAATCCTAGCTAGTGAAGGAACCATCCTCCTTAATTATTGGCTCTATGATAGTCTCCTCGATCTCGTATGAACAAAAATCCTAACATTTCTTCTTCATATGGGAAATTGTCCCTGAGGAACTCAATATCCCTCAACTCCCTCAGTTACAGTGATATTGTACTACTCATATGTAAACACATCCTATAGAGTATTCGGAAGTAGTGTATAGACATACCTCTGGGGTCCAACTTCTCATACGAGTGTTTCATGGATAATCCTCTGAGGAATGCCAAATTGGTAAATAATGTGGTGCTTCAAGAATCTAACCACATTAGATGTCTTAACCTCTCTTAATGGAATGACCTAGTTCCATTTAGAGAAGTACTTAGCAAAGGCCAAGATAAAATGATGGTCTTCAGTGGATGGTGGGCTAATTGGTTCGATGATGTTCATACCCCATGTCTCGAATAACCGTGAGGCAGTGTTCATATGCAACTCTTCTAAAGGTTGGTGTAGAAAGTTGGCATGGACTTGGAGTGCATGACACTACTTGGTATACACAACTGCATCTACAATCATCGTTGGGCAATAATAGCCCAGACGACGAAGTCGGTCCTGAAGTTTAGGACAAGGTTGCTGAGCTTTACATGTACTATCATGGGCTTTCTTGAGTGCTTCTTGAGCTTCACTTAATGATAAGTATCGGAGCAACACGCCGTCAAATGATCGACTATACAAAGTATGTGTAAGAGAATAATAGAAGAAGCGTAAAGCCCTTCTTTAGATAAAGATTGCTTGCTTCAGGTTATCTAGTAGTATTTCATGCAAGACATAATTAATAATCGAGAAATAGCAATCACTAGGTTCAAAGTGAGTTGGTATGAAATGCACTTTGTTAGTTTCTAAAATTTACTATAATGAGCATAATTGATGGCTAACCACTATGATGAACATAGTAGACTTAGGAGCTAAGGCAAGAGTAGCTACAAGGGATGTCAAAGCATCCATATGAATGTTTTCGAGGAGGGATACATAACTGATATAGAAGCCTCCGAATGATTAACAAGCTTCATTGCCACTTCACGGTAGGAATAAGGTTATTATAGCGGATATCATATTCTCCTTTGATCTGATTGATAATCAATTAAGAATCATCATAGGCTTCAAGGGATTTGATACTCATATCTTGAGCGAGTCGCAGACCAATCATGTGGGCATTATACTTGGCCCACATTATTGGAGTATAGATCAGCTAATGAATAACTCCAAGGAAGGACATGTCCATAGGATCGATCAGCACTACCCCCACTCTTGTAGCAATTGCTCCTTTGTGGTTGCGTCTTGATGCGCCGTTGAAGTAAAGTTGCCACACTTGGTGGTCGAAGATAACATTTGACTCGAAGACTTTATCTAGGATGTCTTCGTACAGTTTAGAAGATTCAGGGATGGGATGATTGGCCAAAAAGTCAGCTATTGCCTAGTCTTTAACTACTTTTTGTGGCAAGAATATCATGTCATATTGTAAAAGCAGTATTGACTATTTGGCTAAGTTTGAGTTTAGCGATCCTCGTTTCGTCATGAGTATTTGTAGAGCATTAACTCTTGAAATACGTGGATAGATTTGTAGGTTTTGATCTAATCACACTAAAAACACTAGGGGGGGGGGGGGGATAAAATTTTATGCAAAGTAGATAATAAATTGCAAAGAAGAAATGACAATCATAAAAAATCAACAATTCAAACACAAGGATTTATACTGGTTCCACCTTCCAGATGTACATCTACTCCCCAAGCAAATCCCGCTTGAGAGTTTCCACTATGATTTTGAATAAACTTACAAAATCAAAACTCAAACGTGACTAATTTGCAAGACCATGCAAATTACAGCCAATCTCTTCACCAAGAGATAACACCTATAACACTTGAGAGAATCCTTTCCTTGAATCAATGTACAAATCTCCTATAAGCCTTGATAAGTTTGTGATGTGCAATAGTGGCTTATAGACACTTTTGTTCTCTGAATTCTTTTCAAAATCTTGTATAAATAAAGATGAACAATTGTTGTTGCAGAATTTTGTTTTTCTCAATACTCAAGTAAAAATCAGATTTTCTTTCACTTGAGTTTCATAAAAATTCAATCTTATTTGTATATTTTCATGGTCCAAAATTCTAAACATCTAACCTATTTATATCCCTTGAAAAGACACATTTTTGAACTCATTAAACGGATATAAACGGCTAAAAAGCATTTCAAATTCAAACCTAAAACGTTCAAAAAACTATCTTAGTAGTCGACTACAATGATCATTAGTCAACTACTCTGTAAAACAGATGTTCTGTAAAATAAACTTCAATGCTCAGTAGTCGACTATAGTTAGTTGTAGTCGACTACTCTGTAAAACAAAAGTTCTGTAAATCAAAATTCAAAGCTGAGTAGTCGACTATAATCCTTAGTAGTCGACTACTCTGTTATTTTACAAAAACTTATATTCTGATATTAGACATCAGTAGTCGACTACTAATCTAATTAGTCGACTACTAAGGGTGAAAAAATCAAGTAAGAAATATTTTAGACTCAATGATTAACTAAAAACTCTAATGGTTAACATAGGGGATTTTTATTGTAAACCAACACATTAAGCCTGTGTTAATGTGTTCTAATCTTTATGTGTGTGTGTGTATGTGAGTGATCAAGGCTTGTACAATATTTCTAAGTAAAGAAAATGTAAAAAATTACATTGATACATAAGCTTTTCATCTTCTTTACTTCTTGATGCCTTGAACTCATTTTGTACTTGTTCATGTTGATAACTACATTAAAATATTAGTACATACACATAGTTATTGACATTATGAATAAATTATTATCATCAAAAGTATATTATTACAACATGATATCCAACATTCTCCCCTTTTTTGA